ACCCCAGCCATCTCCGGGAACACTTTCTCAGCCTCTCACTGCGGTCAGGCAGACTTGGACCACTCTCCCCCCCCCCCCCCCATTTCCTATTGAATTCCTGGCGTCTGGTAGCTGGCGGCAACTAGGGCGACCTACCAACTTTTCCCCTGGGCATTTTCTCACCCCCTCCACCCCCCAGTGCTTTCTTTTCTTCTCCCTGCGCTCTTTTTGAAAAGAGGCACCCAGGCCCAGAAACGTGTTCTGCAGTTTAACTACTTCCAAATTCTTTGTTCAGGTCACCCCGGGACTGCATTGTCCGCTATTCAGAGCTCGGGCGGGAGGGCGGTGTGCCTCTGCCGGGTAGGCCTGAATCCATTAGGCCGCCACTCAGGCCCCTGCGGCCCATTGAGGCGCCCGCCAAACCAGGGCACCAGCGGCTCCCTCTGGTCCTTTCCACTCTTGCCCTCAGCTGCCTTTTTTGGATACGTAGGTGGAGTCACAGGACCCTGCAGGTCTGAGTGGAGGTTATCTGGGTTACACCCTGCCTGGAGGGACTAGGCATGGGTGCAAGCCTAGTATGATTCTTGTTGACTCTGCCCCAGTCTGCACACCCTCACCCAGGGTCCTGCCGACACCCTGTTGTTGGCCGCTGGGCTGTTAGACCCGTTGGGCAGCTTTTGAGGAGCCTGTAGCCAGACCTCAGGAATGCAGGTGGAGGAACAGCCATCATCACACCTCCTCCCCCTTCTCCAGGCTCCCAGCTGTGCTCCCACAGCCTGCGTTTTCCCCTTCCTCTCTTTCGTCCACGTCCAGATCCACCAGCTTCCACTCGGTTCAAGCCTCTCTTGAGTTAAGGGTGTGAAAGGAGTCTGCCCAGTTTTGGGGGATGCACAGCAGGGAGTCCTATCCTGAGCCTGACCTGCCCCCATGGTGTCCTCAAAGGCCAGTCTCCCCAACATGGTGACTTCCCCAGCTCCCTGGGAAGAGGACAGAAGGTGCCCTGGCCCTCAGTGTGGCTCAGGACCCAAGGAGATAGAGAGCATGGGAGCCCTCCAGAAGACTCACCTCCTCAGTGCCCACCTTGGGATTGGCTCCAACCTTGTGTGTCAGTGCCCTGCCCTGCAGAGCTTCCCAGAGAGCATGCCTCAGGTCTAGTAGGGAGGCGAATGCTCTCTGGGTCCACGGAAGGCCTAGGAGAGACTGAGTGTAAAGCTGGAATCCACGAGAGAAAAGTCGAGGGGGTGTGGGGGAGGAAGAAAGTTTCTTCTACCCTCAAAGTTCTTCCAGCTGGTCTAATAATTAAATCTACATGAGACAGATTAACAAGAGAAAAATGATCTAAATTAATTGCATGTATTTGCATGGGAAGCCTACATGAGAGGTTCAGAGACAGAAAGGGAAACTGAGGTATATATGACTTTCTGAGCTATGGATGAGATAAGGCACCTTGGGGCTTCAGAGGGAAGTCCATTTGCAGGAAGGAAAGAGCAGATGTTCACTAACTAGAAGTTTGCCCTGCCCTATAGACAGTCATAAAACGTTATTTCTGGTGGTAACTCCTATTACTGGCAAGGCCCCTCATTTAGATTCTTCTAGGTAGTTAAGGGAGGGTAGAAGCTTCCCTTGAGTCCACAGGATCTCGGTTGCATGTAGCTCAAACTAATCTACATGCCAAGAAGCACATCTTGGGTAACTTTTTCTGAACCCCTGCGGTGTCTAAGCACACTGAGAACGAATGTCCAGGAAAGGGTCAGTTGCTGTTAGGGTATCTTTTCGGGGCTCCCGAAGGTTGTCTTTGTGCTGCCCCATCCTGTCCCTCCTACTCTGGGATTATGGGGGTCACTGACTCCAGGTTGAATATGAAGACCAGTCCTAGAGGTCACTCGGACCTCTGGTCCAGTCCGTCCCTTACAGTTCGAGGATCCGCCACAACCTTACCGGGAGCTGACCTCGAGGGGAGAGCCGTGGATGAGTCTGTGGGCGGAGCGGGGGTACCCCGGGGCTGGGCCCCTCGTGAGAGAAAGGCTGTGGAGAAGGGCTAAGGGCACAGAAGAGCGCTGGATGGTGGGCCATGCAGGCCGGGGAGGGCGGGCGGGCGGGCGGCCCTCCCGGCCCCTGCTCTCACGACTCGGATCCCCAGGCCAGGACCGCGGGGCAACAGGGTGCAGAGACTTGGCGGAACCCACGGCGGGCTAGACGAGTAGCGGAGGAAGCCAGATCGGCGTCTCCTGGCTTCTGTGCTGGAGCTCGCGCAGTGCCGCCTTTCCACCCCTTCCCACCAGGTTCCAGGCCGGAAGCTGGGGAGGCCGAAGCCCGCGACCCCCCAAAACCTGGCTGGACTATGTATGACAAGGCTCTTGCAGGACTCAGGAGCTCCTGAGGGTCTCCCACCCCCACGTCTTCCTCCTTCCGTCCTCCCCACCTGTCCCAAGTGCTGCTACAGTGGACGGTCCTGACCTCGCGGATCCCCTGCCCCCGAGCTCAGCTCCCCGCGCTGGCCAACAGCGCCCTCTGCCGGGGCTTCCCGGGAGGTGCAGGCGAGTACAAGGCTTAGGCTGCTGCCGGCGGTGCGGGAATGACTCCGGACCCTCGGGGCGTCGGTCGACCTGATAGTTTGCGGTCTGGATAGAGGGGACAGAGATGCAATAGCCTAACGAGAGCTAGGAACTTCCTCCTCGGGGCTCCCCTCTGCCTCTCAACCTGTACGCAGAGTACCCACTCATGTATGGGGCCCTCCTACGGGTCAGTTAACAGGCACTCACAGCCCAGTAATGGGAACACCAGAGAGTGAGGCAGCCAGAGTCCAGGCCTAAATCATAGCTTTCTCTCCCACCTGAGACTGCGGCCTCTGCTATCTTTGCCTCCTTCAGGAAGATCCCATGTAGACTGAGGTGGATGGGGCAGGCTCAGGACCTTCTCCAGGGTTCTTGCAGCCAGACAAGCTGTGCTCCTTGTCCGCATGGCATTGTCAGCCCGTTCCCAGCTTCATTCTCCTCATCTCAGCAGCTTCCCTTTCAGCCAGGGTCCCTCTCACACCTGCAGGACCTCAGAAAATTAAGAAGTCAAAGCCCCTTCTTATTAGGTTTCAGGATCTCCTGTTCCAAGGATGAGTGGGAGACGGGCAAGAGGAAATGACAGGATGTGCAGGCAAGGCCTGAGCGTTGCAGAGTCGAGATTTCCCCCAAGCTCACACCTTCAGTGGCAGGAGCATATCTGCTGACCCAAGGATGGTGTTCTGCTTTTGAACTGATCCTAAGCTTTGATGGGTTGTTGACAGTCACTCAACAAACATGTGCTGAGCTCTTACTATATGTTGGGCACTTCTGGGGGCAAAACAGAGACAGGGTAAGTAACTTGCTGAAAGTCACACAAGTAGGGATTGCTGGAGCCAGGATTCAGCCACAGATGTGCGCGAGCCTACCCCATCGCTTCTCTCACCTGAATGATTTAGAGGTCTCCTAATTGGCGCTCCACTTTAGAACTCAGCCCCCTCCAATCCGGCGTCCACACTTCTGGGCCAGGACCCTCCCAACATGCCAGTCTGATCACGTCTCCTCCTTGCTTAAAATCCTGCCGTGCGGGTTCTTCCACTCTCAGGAGAAAAGCCCAAGTTCCTCAGCGGCATTTCAGCTAGCTCCCCCGGTGATGTGATGTGTGTTCCTTCCTCTCTCTCTCTGAACCTGACTCTCCCCCCATCCCAGTCGTCTGCTATCTCCCCAAGGCCCAGGTTGCCTCCTCTGCCTGGAATACTCTTGTCTCTTCAGTATCTTCTGGGTGAATGTCACCTCCTCCATGAAACCTTTTGACCCAGGCATGTCTGTTGTGACCTCCTCCTTCATCTAAAAAACCAGATAGGCCTAAGTAACCATGTGTGTGTCTCCATCCGTTGAATGAAGCAGGCACGGGAGACGTATGGAAGGAAGTATCAAGGCTCAGTGCTGCGGTGCTGCCTTCAGAAGCCCTGACTGGGGAGTGGGGGCTTCTTTCTGCATCTGAGGGCGGCCAGAGGGGCGGTGTCGGGGAGGGATGTGTTTTCCTTCCTCCGCAGCCCACTTCTGAAAGTCCGTTTCTCAAGTCAGTTCACGGTGTCCTGGCACACGCGCCGTCTGGAAGGTGGGGACTGACTTTCAGTGAGGCCTGAATTTTGTCCCTAATCAGCGATGTATGTAACCTCAGGTCGGTCTCAAATGTCTCTGAGCCCGCGCCGCTGGGTCTCCAGGCTCTCCATGTGATTCACATGGGCCTCATTCTGCGTGGTTGCTGTACGGTTTATCAACCACGGGGCGCCGAGAGCCCAGCTGTTGAGGCACCCGGAGCAACAGGAGGTAGGTGCAGAGACCACAAAGAATGGACAGCACACTCTGGCTTCTCCCCAGGCCGGAGGGAGCAGGACGCGCTTGGGCAGGGGGTTACTACCAGTGGGCAGATTCGAGTTCAACAAAAGGCAGCGTTTTTACCAAATTGCCCGGGATGAGGACAGGAGGGTTCTCTTCAGCTGCGAACTCCTGCCATGCCTGTGTATCAGTTGATTTGAAATTGAGATTTCCGCATAGGACGCTCTTCCTCTCCACTCTCCTCTCACCATGTGGGGGTACGCGCGGCTGGTACATTTTAGAAACGTGCCGCCCGCCCCCGAGACACGTAGGCGAGCAGTTTCACAGGGACATGCTGCGCGCGGTGTGTGGGAGCCGTTACTTTTCGCAGATCCTGGCGTTCCCTGGCTTCCACGTGGGGAGGGGGTGCAATCGGCACATTATTTCCAAAGATACGAGCACTTCGTTCCTTAGGGGAGGCAAACCAAAAAAAAACAGCTGCCTTCCCTACGACCGCGGCAGGACTCGAACCTGCAATCTTCTGATCCGAAGTCAGACGCCTTATCCATTAGGCCACGCGGCCGCCTGGCAGTCCCAGGCCTTAGATAATCTAAACAGTCTTATTACCGCCCGCCGGCTTGCCTGGGACCAACCCACGTGTTTCTTGTGCTGGGGAGGTTGGACCTTGGTTCTGCAGGGAGAGCTCACCCGGAAATCCCCTTTCCCCCCCCCTGTGTGGACCGGTCCACTTGCAGCCCTCCTATTGGTCGCGCCGGGAGTCTCCCCGCCTGCCTCTCGGGTAAGCCGCGGGACGGAGCGCAGCGCAGACGGGAAGTTGCGGATGCCAGCGAGGCGGACTGGTCGGCTGGAGGCCACACGCCACCCCGAGGCTGCGTAGGCCGCGCGGAGGGAGACGCCGCATCGGTGGCCTGGGATTGGGAGCCGCAGCCCCGCAGCCACTAGGCGGACCGAGGTTTCCGGCGGGTTCGGCGCCGGGGAGGCCGGGTCGTTGAGCGGCGGCGCCGCCCCTCCCTCTTCAGTCTGGGAGCGAGGTCCCGAGCAGGGAGGAGGCTCGTCCCAGGGCGCACCGCGGCGCTGCCGCCGGGCACTAGCGGGCGGTCGTCGGACCGTAGCACCAGGGCCGCCCCTTACGCCCCCTGCAGGCTCTCCTCCGCCCTGTGGGCCGCGGCCCCGGGCGTGGGTGTGGGCCCCGGGGGGTTGGCGGGCCCACCCTGCGGGTTCGAATCCGGGTGCTGGCACCTCTCGGCGTTAGGCCCTGGGGCCGTGGCGGTCGCGATCGTGGCAGTCACCCTTTGCCCAGCGCTTGCTGAGGGCTCGGCCGCGCGATAGATTCGCCCTTGTCACCCAAACAACAGTCCCGTATAACATGTAGACTCCTTAACCCCATTTTACAGAGTAGGAAATTGGGGCCTAAGGAGCTTGCCCAAGGTCACGCAGCTCCTAAGAGCCAGAGCCGGGATTCAAGCCCGAGTTGTCCTACTCCAGAATCTGGGCTTTTAACCAGCATCGGTGTCTTCACCTTCCCCAAGTTCACTGATGAACCTACACGAACGTCTGTTTATTCAACCGGGGGTATTGATAGTTCCCCAGGTTGTTTGAGGCATAACTGAGAAAACGTACCTAAAAGCGCCTGGCACGTTGCCTGGGACGCACTAAGTGCTCAAAGAAGGATGGCTTCTAATATAACAGGTGGTACGAATGTAATAACACAAAATCATCTGTCTCCTTTAGGATTTGTAGGTGGAAGGCAGGCATGGTCAGGCCTATTTCACTGACAGGAAAGCAGAGACAGGACGTGTCTCGCCCCACGTTTTTCAGCCAGTAAAAGCAGCCAAGCTGGAGCCCAAAGCCAGGTGTCCTGAATCCCAGCGGGGGGCTCCCTGCACCAACCATGAGCCGCCTGCTCTGGAAGAAAGTGGTCGGCGCCACCGTCGGGCTAGGGCCGGTTCCAGCTCCGGGGCGCTGGGTCTCCAGCTCCGACTCCGTCACCGTCCCCAGCGACGGGCAGCTGCAGTTGCCGCAGCCGCAAGTGCCATCTTCGGAGGGCGGCCAGCTGCGCCACAACCCACTGCACATCCAGATGCTCTCGAGAGGGCTTCACGAGCAAATCTTCGGGCCCGGCGGGGAGATGCCCGGCGAGGACGCGGTACGCCGCAGCGTCGAGCACCTGCAGAAGCACGGGCTCTGGGGGCAGCCGGCCGCTCCCTTGCCCGACGTGGAGCTGCGCCTCCCGCCCCTCTACGGGGGCGGCCTGGACCAGCACTTCCGCCTCCTGGCCCAGAAGCAGAGCCTGCCTTACCTGGAGGCGGCCAACTCGCTATTGCAGGCCCAGCTGCCCCCGCAGCCCCCGAGCTGGGCCTGGGCGGAGGGCTGGACCCGGTACGGCCCCGCGGGGGAGGCCGTACCCGTGGCCATCCCCGAGGAGCGGGCCCTGGTGTTCGACGTGGAGGTGTGCTTGGCAGAGGGAACTTGCCCCACGCTGGCGGTGGCCATATCCCCCTTGGCCTGGTAAGTCGGGGTTGGGGTCCGGGGCCCAGCTTACTAGTTTGGTTCAGTGAACGTTTACTGAGCTCCCACTACGTGCTGGGTGGGTGCTTTTCCAGCGACTGCTGATTCAGTGGTGAACTGAAATAGGCGTGACCCAGCTTTCAGGGAAGAAGATCTAGGCAGTAAACAGACACCCAGGCAGATGTCAGGTGGTGATAGGGGCTACGTGGAGAATCACAGTCGAGTGGTGTCTTTGAGACTGGCCCGGAGACCACTGGAGATCACCTTGATTTGGTGCCTTTACCCCCTTTACCTAGTAGCTTCCTGAGAAGTTAGTCTAAGATATTTGAACAGTGTTTATGGATTTGGGGCAGGAGAGATGTCTCTTTGTGGGGACTGTCCCAGGCAGTATAAGACATTTAGCATTCCTGCTGCTTCCTGAAATGCCAGACCACTGCTGCCCCAACATTTCCAAATGCCCCCCTGGAGGTAGCATCCCCCTGACCACCCCCAATTGAGAAACGCTGCTTCCTTCCCCCCAGCCTCCCAAGCAGGCATTTTGGTCCCCAAAAGGTATATCCAACCTCCCTCTTTTCAAGTAACTTTCTAAGTGCTACCCAAGTTTCTTTTCCAAACAATGATGGCAGTACTGTTTCTCCCCTTTTTATTCTTCGTTCCAGGATTAAAATACTATTTACAACCTTAATGCTTTCAGACATGGCCAGCAAAAAAGTTGGCAGTTTCTTTATTCCTATTGGAAGCTACATCTTTGTAAAGAAAGCTGCGAAATGTTAAATATGCAGTTGAAACTGGTGAAAACATGGCTAAATAGATAAGGTAGGCATTCATGGCTGAAAAGAGCAAAACTAGATGGCTCCTCATTGATTTAGTTACAGTTAAGATGAGAACCTCAGTACTTACTATATAATGCGATGGTCAAAATAGAGGGACTACCGTCCATCATTTGAGAAGGTAAAGTAGGCTGTGGTGGCTGAAAGGGAATTAGGAAACCGTTGACAAGGAGGACTCGTTTTTTGATCTCTTGGTCATTTTTGGCCAGTTTCCCTGAAGTTCCTGTTCTCTTCCTCCTTCCTCTCCTAACTTTCCGCCTCTCTCTCCCTGTCCTTTGCATCCTCCTCTCATTCTCATTCCATTCTTGCCAGGGGGACTGGGGGAACTGCTTAGTTTGCCTGGCGGCAGAGGCATGGGCTTACACTGGGACCTTCCTCCTGGGAGCCTGACTGTGTCCGTGGTGGGGATGGGGGTGCCTGATGGGGCCCTCCTAGCAGTCCACTTTTATCTAGGCATATCACTACCATGTGGCTGTGGTAACATCAGGTACCTGACCAGCCCACAATCTCCAGAGGGAGAGGAAAGCTGCTTGGGCAGCCTATAGGGTGGTCTCCCAAAGGCTGCTGGTAAGGGCTTTGGTCATCAGACTACTGGACATTACCTAGGCTGTCAACACTTATCTAAGATTCATACGGAAAGTATAGTATTAATGGCATTGGTTCTGACTCAAATTTAAGATGCCTTTTTTTTTTTTAATCACAAATTTATACTCAGATAGCTCTCGTGCACAGCTGCAGACCTGGATCTTGACACTATTACGGCTTTTTATTGCAACCTGTCATCACCATAGCCTCAAATACTTGACATTTTTCAACCTTTTCTTTTGTGTTTTTAAGGGCTTTGACCTGCTAAATTGGAAGGGGAGGACGTATTGGCTAGAGACTCCGATATATTCCCACCATTTGGAGTGGGAGCTAGATTTTACCAGGCTGACAACGAGGAACCTCTTTTTGCTGTCCTCCTCCCACTTTGCCCCCCCCCCCCAAATCCTACTTTTATGTGTATTGAAACTGTTGGCAGATAACCCTTCCTCCCCTACATCAGGGTTGCAGGGAGCTCCTTTGCAGCTGTGGTGCCCACACGTGTGGCCTCGTCACGTACTTTGATGCTAAATGGCCTTGACCCTTCGGCATAATCTGGGGTTCACAACAGGCCCTTCCTCTGTGACCATTTCCCCACTCTTGGCCTTGTGAATCTTGAGCAAACTCTAGCCTTTTCTGAATCAGTTTCAGGCCCTCAACAGGCAGCACTTACCCCAGCTCCGCCCCCCCCCCCCTTGCAGATGGCGACATGCTCTCTGGTCTGACACTCACCCTGGTCTCTCACAGAGGTGGGTGCTCAGAGAGGCACAGCACCTACAAGGTGTGTGATTCGCTCTTTGTCCTTCAGAATCTTTCCAGCTATCAGATGATTCGTCCTGTAGATGAGTGCAGCATTTGTCTTTTTTTTTTTTTTTTTTGGCCACTTTCAATTAAAATAATTTCCACTTTAGGCTCTATTATAATTGTTTCTCTTCTTTACTAGCACTTTGAGCACTAGCTGTTTTGTGTTTATAGATGTGAGGGGTTGCTAGTATTTATGAAACACCTCAGAGCCAAGCACAGAGTCCACGGATACTGGGAACTAACAAACACCTTGACAGCCCAGGCTGACTGTAGGACACTCAGTATTATGGCACTTAGCTCCATTTTTATCTGTGCAAGTCAAAAGGCAAAGAAGATTTGTAATCGCCCCCTCCCCCCAACACATACCCCCCCACACACACACACACTGCCCCACATGACCTCTAGCTCTGGGAGGGTTAGGTGCACACATTGGTTTCACTCATGTCCCCAGCTGCTAGTGCAGGGCCTGGCACCTGGTGGCACGTGTGCAGTGAGTGTTGTGGAGAAGTCGCATGCCTCGATGCTGACCCTGCCTGCGTCTCGCCTCCCTCAGGTATTCCTGGTGCAGCCGGCGGCTGGTGGAAGAGCGTTACTCTTGGACCAGCCAGCTATCGCCGGCTGACCTCATTCCCCTGGAGGTCACTGCCAGTGCTGCCGGTGGCCCCACCCAGCGAGATTGGCAGGAGCAGTTAGTGGTGGGGCACAATGTTTCCTTTGACCGAGCCCATATCAGGGAGCAATACCTGATCCAGGTAAGGTTCCTGGGGCCAACTCTAGGTCTGCCACAGGTGGGCTAGGAGCCCTGACCTCAGTGGCTAGGGGAGGCATTGCCACGGGGCTCCTCAGGCCCTGTGCCCAGCTGTTCTGTCCCCACAACCTGCTGGTACAGAACCTGAGTTGTCACAGCACAACTGGCCCTTCTCTGTGGCTTTAGCACGGGTCTTTGGAGGCTGAGGGCCACGCAGCCTGGGCTCACAGCCTGCCTCAGCCGCTGATGAGCAGTGTGAGCTCTTGAACATCCCTGAGCCTGTTTCCATATTCGTGAAAAGAGGGAGATAGCAGAAGCTACCTTGTAGGATTATGTGGAGGGTCTGACCACTACACACATCAAACACTCGGCACCATGGCTGGTGTATAGTTGTGGCAGTTCTTAATTTTATGAAAAGTGCTCTATCGTTGTGTTCTCACAACAACCCTAGGAGAGGCAGTGCAGGTGAGAGCAGCCTTAGTGTATAGCTGAGGGCGCTGAGGCTCAGACAGCCTTGTTGAATTGCCCAGGGCCACGGAGCTTGTGAGTGGCGGGGCTGGGGGCCAGCCTGATAGCTCGTTTTGGCTGCTCTGTGCCCACGGTGCTCCTTAGACCTGTTGCTAGACACTGGGCAGGACTTGTGTGTTTGGTCGAACCAGGCCTGCACCTTCCAGGGTGCCTAGAATTTGGGAGGGCAGGCCCCTCTCAGGTCCAGAGACAGCATGAGCGAGCATGAAGGTCTCCTGTCTTCAGTGTTGGAAGGCTGTGTGATGGGAGGGGGGCTGTGTAAGGAGCCGAGGAGGGGCCAGCCCCTCAGCCAGCGTTCCTCCCCTCTTCAGGGCTCCCGCATGCGCTTCCTGGACACCATGAGCATGCACATGGCCATCTCAGGGCTAAGCAGCTTCCAGCGCAGCCTGTGGATGGCAGCCAAGCAGGGCAAGCACAAGGCCCAGCACCCCACACAGCGAAGCCAGAAGTCCCAGAGAAAGACCAACGGCCCGGCGGTGAGGGCGCACTGCGGTGGGGGGGCCGGGG